GACCTTCGATAATGAGAAGAAAACTTTTCTGCTCCAGATGTCCATCACTCAGCCTCTGGGTGACATTGCACATGATCTCCTGCTGACGGACTGTGTAGTTGGATTTATTTGTGGGAAGAGTTATCTCGTTGAAGCTCAAACAGCGGAACCAGATTCTGGCCTAGGTGCAGGGATGTAAACGCCCAGTCAGGTCACGAATTCTTTTGGATCTCCTAAATTCTGCCTGGTAAATTGCAGTTGATAAGATACTCACCAGGTTCATTTTCGAACGGACAGCTGAGTCGCTGAATGCTGACAAAGATGTTGAAGACGACGTTTCGAAACGATGTAATTCTTTTACTGACGCATGTGTGTCATGTTGCTTGTCGTTTTGGAAAGACACCAAAACAGTTACCTTACCGTGTCTGAAGAAAGTTTTGCAGAAACTGCAGCAGCTTTGGTGTTGTCTCACGGCCCAGTATTCCTTGTGAAATATGCGCAAGTGTTTGGAAAGGAGGTGCCTGTAAATGGTGAATCTTACGGTCAGGTAGTACCAGTCTTACTTTCGCTCCGCTGCTGTACAGTACGTAATGCGTTTACTGTCTGCCAAGTCTGCGAGGGTTCTGAAGCATTTGAATGAGTTTGTCGCAACTTCATGGACTAAGAAAATGCTGACGACTAGATGCTCGGTCGTTCTCTGGACGTGGTTTGCAAAGCAGGGGATGGATGCCCGCTGCTGTGAGCGTCAAATCGCTGTGTTTTTGCTTAGAGGACTCTTTCCTGTTTGATGATAGGAATTTCATGCAATTCAGAGTGCGTGGTGGTCACCGCCACGGGCGCTTGTCTTAACTTCTAATACTTATGAGTTGGATCAGCGCGTTATGTTCGCTTTCTTTCATGGCGAAGTCCAATGTTTACCTAGTAGACTTTCATCCACATGCTATGAGGTTTTTGTAGATCTTTACCTCTCCAAAGCCGACACCAGGAAAGTCATCGATCGTAATGCACAGTCAGCGGATGAGCAGCTGCGGCGAATGGATGTTTTTGATTAGCGTTCTCAAGTGACTGCAGGCAGCACATGGAAATAGACATGCGAATCTGCCATGGTCGTTGAAGTGCAGCAGTTGATCCGCTCTGCTTTATGGTGGCTGAACTTCCGTTTGGCAGTAGCTGGCAACAGACTTTCTAAGTGGTTATTTTGCTACCTAATTTGCCTCAAAAAACGTTTACCTTCATCAGGACTGAACAGGAACTGATCCGACGTTGTCAAGCGGCATCGTTACATCAGACGAGTAATAATCATTACCAATTCTGAGGTAAGGTCGAACGAACGAATTGATTTTGTTGTTGCACGTCGTTTTATGCTTGTTCTTTGCTCTGTCCGTCGCCGTTCATCGCACTGAATGTTTCGTGTATTTTAGAAAATCACGATTCAAAGCGGCAAAGAAGCGAAGACACGAATCTTGGAGACATCGACTCTGAAGAACAGGACGACTCTGGTTCTGAACTGTCGAATCATCAGCGGGCAATCAGCGATCAGGAGGTGGCCTTCCGTGAAATGTCCTCTGATTATGCAGTACGATTCTGCGGCCATTGCAACACCACGACTGACATCAAGGAAGCGAACTTTTTCGGAAAGTAAGTCGCATGAACTAAGTGGTAGGTTATGCTTGTTGTTCGCTGCAAAATTGCTTGTTATCGACGAATGGACTGGACCTCAGAAGGTTCGGTTGCTTTTCAGACAAGCGCAGATAAGCATCAGGGCGGAGTTTGACGAACTTTGATCTGACCCCGCAACCTAAGGCAGTTGTTTCAGGGAGGTTTTCGATGGTTTTACTCATTTCTAGAATATGAAAGAAGCAGGCGCTCTTCCTCCATCTTAGCAATCTATAAAAAAAATTGGACATCGTCGACTATATAAAAAACGTCGAAAATTCCGTTTTGATTCTGGGTCCATAATTCATCAACTCATTGTGTACTTGATGCTTGATTAGGAAACCCAAGCGTGAAACAAAGAAGCAAAAGTTTTACTAGCAGTAGACATGTTTCGTTGCCGGTGACATGATCAGGACTGAACATATGATAGACTGAATTTTTGCATAATAACAAAGTATTAATGACTTAATACAGTAAAAGACAATTGTGTATCACTCAGTTGGGATTTGCAGATTTTCAACAACGATGATTTTCTCGTGATTACTGGCATGAATTTTAAGCAGTCCGTTCGAAACAGCGAAGGAAATATGAAAATCTGAAAGGAACTGTGAAAAGTATGAGTTCATCAGTCATCGTTTATTATCGGACAAACATTTTCGTGATAGTTTCGTGGTTCACCTTACCAGTGCAGTGACGAAAGTGAGACGGATTATCATGCTGTTAGATCTCTCGTCATAGTTCGAAACCATGTTTATCCTATTGCAGACGTTGACGAAAGTTTTCGACGTTCTATTTTGAATCAGACTAGTCAAAAAGTGGAAATTACCGCTGACTGTGGCTTTATTGTTGGTAATAATATAGCCAAATTGCAGTGAATCTATCAGCGCATCACTGCGACGCTATCAACAGGCTAAAGCGGAAACTAACTTGATGACCCGATCGCCTTATCGGCTGACGAAAGAGCAATAATGCTGAAGCAGGATTATGAAGCTGAAATATTGGAGCATAAATTGAATGATGCCCCTTATTTAGAACTCAGAAAGAAAGCCAACCCCGATAAGGATACTCGACAACGTCTTGATTTGACTGATACTTGCAGACATGGAAGGTCTATGGAGATACCGTTTTAACGGTTTCTTTCTGTTATTGATTCCTGTAAAATGTCTCAACTCTACGGAATAGTAAAGCCGCATAAATCTACCTTACCACTACGCATCGTAATTCATGCAGCAGCTACTATTACTGGATAACCGAAGAATCGGCATTATTACAAAAACCTGCCTGCACCAAGTATGACTTAGTATAGAATAAAGAACAGTTGCGACTTCATCAAGAAAGTTGAAGGTAACTTAGACCATGACACTTGTATGGCATTCCGAGATGGGACGGCCCTTGGAGCCAAACGCATTTGCTCAGTTGCTGCCTGCTACCTTGCAAGATATGGCAGCGGGATGGAAATCATCGAAACGCTTTTGAGAAGGTGCAGCGTTGAAGATCTACGATTATTTCGCCTTTTAATGACAGGTGTTAGATTCAAGTTTGCAGACAAGGTGTACTATCAAGCATACTCGTTCCGATGGGCTTTCCGGTAAATGCTGTGCCAGCCGTCTGTACCTAGACTACATGGAAAACAAAGCCTCCGTTAAATTACCGACTTGCTTTCGTTCCATGTGCTCAGGCCGGTTCGTCGATGACTTTTTCGTTCTGTTTCCAAAGACGCTGGACAAACCTCTGCACGATTTCACTTCATAAAGTTACAGGGGTAACCGCATGAAGTTCACCACAGAATTTTGCAGCAATAAATCCTGCCGTTGCTAAACGTGCTTGTAACAAGTTGTAACCGGGAGAACCGGTGGAAGTTTGGATTTCCGGTCTTCCGTAAACCATCTCACTTCTGTAAGTATCTTCGAGTAAAATTCGGCGCTGCACTTGCACCTGCAGATCCAGGAATACAATGAATAATATACGTTATCGTTCAGCAACAGTGCGCAACACTGTTAAAGGCTTGAAAGGACATATTAACCATCTGCACAAGACCTTTCTTCAAGGCTTCTACTTGCCGACATTGTTAAACAGTGAACTACTGCCCCCCCCCTCCTCCACAGTTTTGACTGAAACGAAGCACCGGAAAACAGACCCGCGATATCTATTCTATTTTACCCTGAAGTTTCAGAACAAGTCATAAAATACTTACAGGGTGTAGGGTTTTTTACAAAAACTAGAATGACACTAATGAAGCTTGTATTTGAGAAACTCCGTCCAAACAACCTAATGGATACCTTTGTTGTAGTTTATAAAAAATTACTTTGACTCTGACAGAATTTAGATTATTACGACCTACAGAAGGCTTAATATCTGAGAAAGGGAACAGTTGCCCCCTGTACACAACTGTCATGCTGAATACTCAGACATCTCATCTCTTGCCGGTGGCGAAGATTATGACGTCGGCGAAACGAATCTTTCGGTAATTGACAAGGATAGCGCCATGTTTGGTTATTAATTAATGAGTGTCTTCATATACTGGCACAAAATCTAAATGTTCAAGGAATACTGTTCCTTATTTCTACGCCGTTTCAATCCGGTATCAGTATTTCTTATGTGATATCTTCAGCGGCGGTATCGAAAGGTCTCCAAGAACATCGGGGTTGTATATTTTGTCTAATACTTTTCTTCTGATACCAGTCAGACCTGGAGTGGAATCAGTATTCCTTTTAGATTGAACATAAAATTTTCAATCTGACTACAACAAAAGTGTTACTCAGGATTGTTTGTGATGTTAATGCCGTGGTACCTTTGCTGTGGTGCTAAAATGTTGACTTCAGGTTTTTATTTATTGAGTCCTGATCATGCTGCTTGTATTGGTAGCGGAATGCGTCGACTGTTAGTAAAGCCTTTCCGTCTCGGTTTTACGTTTCGGTTTCCAAACCATGCTTCATGAAAGCAGTCCGTTGAAAGCTTGAAAATTTACTTCAAGTGCATGGAAGTTAATATTATTCTGTACCGGTATGCACAGATTACATACCTATTTAGTTTACGTTATATAAATATGTATATATCGTACAGAAAACAACATAAAACACGGCTTATGCGCAACGTAAGCAGTTTGGTCACACTGTGGGTTGAATAAAAGTACTGACGTTTCAGCCCGTGTTTCATGAGCGTACTTTAAGGTAGAAAGATCGGTTAGTTTCGAAGGGCCTGTCGTTCGCGGTTGCTGGTACGTTCAAAGCCAGAAAGCGTGCTTTGGGTTCGCGCTGCCGGTTAAGTAGCTTTGTGGTGATAGGAATTACAAAGTTCACCTGATCCCCGCAGAGTTCGTATGCCTTGTCACGGTTGACGTTGATGCTCGACTAGATGATTAGTGCTTCGTTGTTCATCCCATGTCTTTTTTTAATGATGCTAGTGCAGTCTGACTCTCTCGGGGACGTGTCCTTCAACCGCTGTTGTGAGGCCGACGGTATGATATTGGTCTTGTGCGATCCAGTGGTAAAAATTGCGTTTAGTCCCTGTCCGTTTCCGGTTGTTGTCCGCCTTACGTAGCTGGGATATTTTTTTCATCTGGTATTAGCTGTCATTCCTTGTTCTCGGAGAGAAGTATCGAACGATCTGTTCATACTTTGTTCGTCGATTAGTGCTATAACTAGCCTTTTCGATTGGTTTTATGATTGGAATGTAGGTTAAGACGGTAATCGGTCTTGCCATTTCATGATTACCGCTATACAACAATAAGAAACGATTTTAGAATTCGTGTCAGAATTTCACAGCTGCTCATTGGCTTATGAGAATACGGCAGGTCGTACTTACGCCTAGCACGCGATCTTCATTTTTGATCGCTGCCCTTTGTCATCCGCATGGACACCAACGATACGATTCTTTT